CTTCCTCCAAGCGCGTGGCGCAGAGCCTGCCCCCGCGGCCGCTTCCCCTGCCCGGCCCAGCCCCGCACCGGGGTCCATGTGAGCCACCGGCCCCACTCCCCGCTCACGAGCCAGAGCTGCCGGGTCTCCTCGTCCTCCAGGAGCTCGGCGCTTCGGGTCCACGCTGCCTGCCAGCGGAAAGGGGCTCTTGGATATGCTCCTTGTTAACAGGTTTTTTGCTCTGGCTGTGAATTTTCATATACTGTTCGTGAAGAATGAGTTACACAATGTGTTTTCCTGGCTCTAAGCCTTTATTAGAAAGGTCTAGGAACAGGAGACAGGAACTTCCCCCCAGTTGTTAATATCCTTTATGAGCTTCCACCAGCACTTCAGAAACATCCCCCATTGTGTCTGTCTCCTCTGGGATCATGGTTGAATCATCATAAATCTCTTTTTACCCTATTCTTCCTCTTCTAAGAACTCTTGCCTTGGCAGAGTTTTCTGCAGGAATTATTCTGCTCACTTCCAGCTAAAGCTGAAGTGAGAACTTTTCAGGTCACATGAATTTTCCAGTTCCTGAGAAATTAATGTTGCTCCAACGGGAGTAATACTAGACAAAAGGAGGAACCCATCCCACAAGATCTGTAATCTACTACAATGAGCTTATACTTGGCTAGTATAAATCAAACTCGGTTCCTGTCTCTGGTAATCTTCCTTGCAATATGTTTTACTGCAATTGTCCATTTTTATGGAAGTGTTCAGTGCTCGGCTTGTATTTATGCCCGGTAATCCAGAAGCACTCATTTCCTATGAGCTCATCTGCAGAGGGCATGCAATGAAAAGAAGGGAGCAGGCAGCCTGGCGGGCAGAAAGGCTGAGTGGCAGCCACCGGGGCAGCGCGGCCTCTCTGCAAAGCTGAGGTCCAGCCCGGCAGGCCAGGAGCTGCCTCTCGGGGGCGCCGCGCACCAAGAACCCCGGCCACGAGTCAGAGGTGTGCGCGAGAAAAATAAGTTGTGCCCCCTGCCAGTTTCACTTCTGCTGCCGCAGGACATGGTAGGGCAGAGCAGTAGAAAAAAATATGCCCTCTTTTTTCTTTCTTTTTTTTTTTTTTTTTGCAACTACAAATAATTTCTGGTATTGTTTTCAAAATGGAAACAAGGTGGCAGAGACCCAGAGGCTGCTCTTGTAAAGGGCAGAACATGGCCAAGTTCAAAGCCGTGAACCAGCGTATTTATGGGGGCCGGGGGCTCGCTCCACTGGCGAGCTGCTCCGCCAGAGGACCCACCGGCTCGTCCTCCTCTGGGCTCAGAGCCCGGCTCGGCTCTGCCAAGAGGTCAATGTGGCTCTTTCCGAGGAATGATGGTGAGTTTTCCTTGCAGCTTAGAGAGGGTACATCGCCCTGCTTGGCTCGAATCCACCGCTTTGCAAGAATCCGAAGTGCACCTACTCGGAAACGGTGTCCGCGGGCTCCCTGGGCTCGCGCACGTGGGGCTGACCCTCTGCTCCGTGCACCCCGAGGGCAGCACCGAGGGTTGCTTCGCAGGCGGTGGAAAAGGGGTTCATGCAGCAGGTGGGAGAGACAACCTGCGTCAGCTCTGCAGCGCTGGAGCGCCCTGCGCCTGCCCAGGGAGCAGGTTATGTGCCTGGTGTCCTTTCACGCCCCCGGCGGTCTCCAAGGTCTGCTCCCGGGAAGGTTTCAGCACTGCCTCGCTTAC